CCTTTGCATCCAGTCACGATTTACTGAAACGGATCTGACATAGGACGATATTGCTGAATCCAATGATCAGCCAATCCTGCTATAATTTGTTACTACCTCCGCCTGAAGAGGTCGGATACCTCTGGTTGAAAGTACCATCTTCTTTTTACTGAACATCTGTTTCCATTTTTACAGGTGGTTCAAAATCTAATGGCTCTGTGGGCTCTGCCACGGCTTCTTGTGGCTCTATTGTTACTAACAGGATTCCCTCTACAGATTTTGTTTTCACTGCCAAATCATATGCTATTTCACTTACCTTGTATCATGTAAAAGCTAAGCAGTACACTAACTGCACAATCTTTACTTACTCGCTTAGCTCTTTGAATGCATTGGAATCGTTTAATGAGAATTATTATCCAGTTCTCTTGGACATCCCGAAAAGATTGGCTCATGTTTCGTTGTCATCCCTCTCTATTTAGTTTAACTGGATTCCTTAACATGTGTCTACTCTAGTGTTGTTACAGATCTAACTCCCTTACGTGGACATCATATCTGTCAACAAGGTAAGGCTACACGCCAGTTCGCAGTCGATTTGGAGTGAACAACATAATATCAAGCTTTTCCAGATAAAGCCTGCTGCTGTTGTTATTTAGTTGTCTAGCTTCCATAAGAACAGGAAAAAGGAAGTTATGTTGTCTAGACTATACAGTGGCCACAGTTTTCTTTCTCGTCATTTTCTTTTACAAGGAACAGATCCACCAACGTGTGACTTTTGTGATACTCATGTAACAAATGCCCATAATTTACTTTCATATTTTGTCTACAAAGGCACTATTTTATATACATTTTACTTCGGAGTTTACCTTGAACGTTGGATAGTGCCACTGACGAGAGTGACACTGTCCAGATTGACCGAAGCTTTAGCTTCTTACGGGCCTTTGATATTTTTTAATTGTATTGAATTATATTTACCTTTATATTTTACAAGTTATGTAACACGACATTCAAAAAACCAGTTGCTCATTCCGATTTACCTCTGCTGGTTTCTCAAACGTTTTTTTATGTAAGTAACTAATAATATCAATTTTTTAAGTATGTCAACTGCTTTTTTTTGTACACTCATTGCAGTCAAGATCTACAGTAGGCTTAGAAGGTTGGCCACTTTTCTCCAAAAATATTAACTTTGAATTTGTGCGTCAGGTTTTGTGATTCGAGTTCTTCCTTATATAGAGAGCAAGGTTCATTTTGTAGGCCTATTTTTCTTTTCCTATTAAAAATATTACAACTCGTTAGTATTCTTTAAAATCCTAGCATCATGAAATCACTTTTAGTTATCTTAGCAAAATGAATCCTTTGACTGATCTCTTAAAACTTTCTTTAAAGCACTCTCAAGCTGATACTAAAAAATATGATCAATCGAGTAAAGAGGCTTTATTACAGCGTGTTTACTGTAATAACAATGTAGTTCAGAAGTTACTGATCTTGAAAGTACATATAAGACTTAAAAAGAATTATATTCCGGGACAATCAGAAGAAACAAATTTCAGGTTGACTAAATATATAGCAGAAATGAACTCATCCCATTTCATAGAGCCTGACACTTCAGTCTGTTGTATCCCACGTTCGCCTTATTGCAAAGTATATACTTCATATCGTATGTTTGGTTTTATACAGTAACATTGATCTGTTGTAGTAGTATGTAAGACACAAGGCAAACATGCACACCACAAAATGTTTTGGAAGTAGCTGACCCAAACTGCTTTTTACGTCCAAACTAATAATTAGTGACAGACTGGTATAGGATACAGAACTGAAGCAATCATTACTTTGTGCAATATACCTCTAATGCCCTGGGTTCATTTCATAGAGTTGACAGAAGATACTGTGAATTACTGGAAATGTCACTGAACAAAATAATTCAAAAGACTGAACTATAATCTTACTAGTAACTGACACTAAGATTAAAAGAGAAAGAAACACTCGTGCTAATAAGAGGATACATAACAAAACACCGATAATTAGGCCTCATTCTCTAATCAATATCTACTAACTGTGAATAAGTCATTACTAGAAACTTTCAATAAATAATAATATGTAATAATTAATAACTGTATAAGTAGTAACTGTAAATAACTAATGAATAAAAACAGTGAATATTAATGACTAATAACCATGAATACATAATGAATAACGCCTTAATAACCGTAAATGCATAATAAATAATGCCTTAATAGCCTTGAATAAGTAATAATTAAAACTATGAATAAATAATAACTAATAATGATGAATAAAACAATGCCTATAGAATAGGTAACAATTAAGCTTTTACTGGTTCAAAACCAATGTCTAGAAACTGTGAATAAGCAAGAACTAAAATCTGTGAATAAATGATGGATAATATCTGGTATGAACAGTAAGTAGATGGGTAGTTACTAAAGGATGTAGTAACTATGGGTACATAGTTACTGAAAACAGTGAATAAATTACGACTAGTAACTGTAGAAAAGATATTTACTAGATACTTTAACTAAGTATTACAACTAATGGTTGTTTTTGCGTTTCATAATAATCAAATAGATTACAAACTTGTTCTTTAATAGACCTTTTGACTACTGCTTTTATATGCAATGAAATCACCGTGCATGATACAGCAGGTAACAACTGCACTAAAATAAATGTGCTTCATAAGCAGCCTTCGTAAGTATCACTACATCTATCCAGTACTACATCAGCTCATGTTTATTGTAAAGAGCATGACTTTGGCCAATATGCGTTAGTACGGCTAGCCTCGCTGCCTTTAAGGGCGTCCGTAGCCACTAAGTAGGTAAGGTGCTGCTCTTAACGAACATGTCACACACAAACAGATACACTGGTAGTTGCAGTAACACTAGCTTGTATTTAAGTTACAATTCAAAAAATTCTACATAAAATGAATTAATAGCTTCAACAGTAGCACACATTAATTCATTTTAGTAAGTAACTTGAGTGTTCATTAGAAAGTTTTCTCTAATATATAATTAACGAACAAAATCACAGAAATAGTTAGTCATGCTCAGCATGAGCACCAAAGCCATCACTGGAACGAACAATGTCTAGTACGTATGATTATATAATAACTAAAAACTGTGAGTAAATAATTGCTAGTTACTGTTCATAACTAATATCTACGATTAAGTAATAGGTGCCTAATGTGAAACCCCTGGTGGCTCAGCGGTAAGTTTGAGGGCTTATAACGCTAAACACTGGGTCTCAATACCTGCGGTGGGAAGGCAAAAATAACCCATTATGTAGCTTTGGGCTTAAAAACAAACAAACTTAACGTGAATTAGTTTAGCTTTCAGTAAATAATAACAAGTAACTGTGAGCAGTAATAAATACGTTGCTGCTAGCTTTTAGATTTGAATGTAGCAACTTTACTACTACATTTCATGATTACAGGGCTGTATAGTAATTGGTATTCACAGATGATATAGCTGTACACTATTGTTTAACGATCTGATAGCCTGTTTCATTAATGAGTCATTTTCTATCCCAGTATAATAAAAGTAAATTTATACCTATAAGTTCAGGTCATTTAGTTTTCTTTTGTGCTATTCAACAGCTTGATTTAAAATCCTGTATTATAAAAACGTTTTTGAGATTTCTGTATGATAACCTCTAGTTTTTATATATTAGCATGTTTTTTCTCCAGCTTCATGAAAAAGTAAAACTCATAAAATAACAAAGATTCGTTATTCTTCAGTCCCATTTAAATATCCATTAAAATAGCTGTTTAGGTTCCGGTCCCTTAGATTCCATTATAGGCATGTGTGGCTTTGCAACAACACCACTACAGCAAGAAGCTGTAATAGATTAGTTTCTGTTATTTTTACCCTAATTTTTAGCCCACTTAAATAATCTCAATAAAATACCAACGGTCCACGCTTTATAAGTTCCAGTTACTTAGTTTTTCTTCACCAAGAAGTTATTCTACAGCTCTAATTAAAATTTCAGAAATATAACAACATTTATATAAGTTCTTGTACGTTATAGTGTCCATTGTTCATATACTAATGTACAGTTTTATTTAAAACAATATGTTAACAACGTCTCTAGTTCCCCCGTGGGACGACGGTAAGCCTACGGACTTACAACGGTAAGATCCAGCGTTCGATTCCCCGCGGTTTAAATAACAACGTTTCTATTGTGTACAATTTCTGGCGACTTGGCTTTTATTGTTAGTGTATTATTCAGAATTTGTTTACAGCACATTTGAGGTAACAATAATACCTATAGGTTCTGGTCCATTAACTTTCTTTTGATAAACCATGTATTCACTTTGTTCAGCTTTTATAATATATTTTCAAGGCTTTGTAATGAACTAGTAGGTTGAGAAGTTGAGTAATTTTCTGTGTTAAATAGTTCGAATGTTGTTTGTCTTAATCAACCAAACTAATATAATAGTTTCAATCATCATTTAGTTGTTTTTAAAACACCCTGAAGTGTATTAATAGCAGCGTATTAATTAATTAATAATAATATGGAAACAACATAATATGGAAGGCATTCAAAACTTCTTCTGTTAATTAAACTGTGGTAAATAAAACATTATACCTTCTTTCACTCACTCCAGACCTGATGAAGGACTTAACAGGAATCCAGAACGTTGTCTCACGATTAAACAAAAAAAGATAGAAATAATTCACACAGTATAGCAAAGAATTTTGCAAAGATGATAATAAATAATTCCCTAGTATTAAGTTACTCGCATAGTAAAATTGGAAAGCATCTTACACAATCTTGACAAAACATTAGTAATACTTATTATCAATGAGGTCAAGTGTTGTGGAACAAGTTTTGTATTTTGGTGACATAACATGAAATGTTTAGTATTGAAAAGAAAAAGCCAGTGATAATTAGCTTCCAATCAAAGAAAGCTACCTACTTATAGAGAAACTAAAAATCAACCTGGTAATAAGTATACGTAATAACTTTCTTATAAAGATTAGAATGCATTCTTTCAACAGTTTCTTCAATTACAGGTATGTTGACTTCATGAACGTGTTATCCTACGACTACCACACACCTTATGAATCTGAAACTCATCACCACTCACCACTTTCTAAACGTCCAAACTTCAGCAGATGGGACAGAAGAAATAAATTGAACATTGTAAGTAGTTCTGCATTCTTGAAATGTTGTAAATTAGTAGATAAGTTAATTTTTTTAGCCAATCTTATGTGTTACAAAAGAGCAAGCTAAACGTAGTATAAAACTATTTTTTAGGCTGCGGATTTTACGAAGAAGAATGTTAACAGGATTTTCTTTGCTCACTTTTTGAATGCTACACAGTCACAATATTAGCAAATGATTCTTCAGTGTATACAAATAATAATAAAACAAACAGTATAATTCTGTGTTCAATCTGTGCATGCATGTTCAGAAATTCTTTAAATACGAGATTTTGTCCAAGAGTACGGGTGAGGGGCAAATTTAGCTATTTTTCATTATTGTGTAAAAAATCTCGCTAATTGTTATCTTCGGAAATTTATCGGATCTTGAGTTATCTTTTACAAAATATGCGAACTAAAACTGTAACCTGCTAGGAATGGACCATAGACTACTACTTGGAACTTGGAGCTGTGCCAGAAAAGCTAATTGTTGGCATTCCCATTTACGGACGGACTTATACACTGTTAGACCCAAAAGACAACAAACTTGAAGCTCCAACCAATGGTCCAGGTAAGGAGGGACCATCAACCAAAGAGAAAGGCTACATGGCCTACTTCGAGGTACGTATAACTTTCATGGCTATTATCGCCTTTTTACTGATTAATTTTTAAAATTTCATTTTCCTTTAACTGATGTGCATATATATATACAAAATAGTGTATATTCTTGAATAATTATAAACATATTTCTCAACAAATCTGCATATTAATTATAAGTGATATATATACCTGATACAACTAAAACTCTAGTGTTAAGCTGCGGTTCAGATTAAGGTGTTTGATAAATTAGAGTAAATTGCTGTAATTTCAAAGTTATAACTGTTAATACTATTTCAAAGTTATAACTGTTAATACTATTTCAAAGTTGTAACTGTTAACACTATTTCAAAGTTATAACTGTTAATACTATTTCAAAGTTATAACTGTTAATACTATTTCAAAGATGTAACTGTTAATACTATTTCAAAGTTATAACTGTTAATACTATTTCAAAGTTGTAACTATTAATACTATTTCAAAGTTATAACAGTTAATACTATTTCAAAGTTGCAACTGTTAATATTATTTCAACGTTGTAACTGTTAATATTATTTCTGTCTGTGTAGATTTTAATCTCTTGAATTGGCATCGCTACACTGTTTTTCATAGTTTTAGTTAACTAAATTGGAGTGAATAGCTCCAGTTTTCCTTATATGCAAAATTGCAAGTATCTACAAGAGTATAGGAAGCAAAAATGCTATAAATTAATAAAATTAATTAGCACTAAATGCGGGTAGGAATATGAAGTACATAACTGGATTATATTCAGGAACTTTATTTTCGAAATTATCAAATTTCTTTAAATTTGATATACTTATGCTTTATACTTGAACGTAATTCACATCGATAAATCCATTTTATAGATTTTATGATTACGACTAAATATTATTTAAAATATTCTTAAAAATTAATCATTTCTTCACAAACCATTTTTGATGAAACGTTTAATAGTGGGTATTATAATCAACTAAATAAAACAAGCTTTGTACATCTAACATAATTTATACTTAATATTTTTATCGTTGACATTTTATGTCATTGTTGTGGTTTCTTTGCGATAATTTCAAAATAAAGTGTTTGATTTTAAGTTAAAACATGAGTAGATTATCTGTATAATTACAAATTGCAAGTCCATTTGTTACGGTTTTCCTGTTTGCGATTTTTAATTAGGTTAGATAAAAGCTTTAAGCCTACATAGTTGTTCATGTTCTTTTCAGAATACAGTGATGTTCTGTGCAGAGATTTTCCCAGATGCATGTAATAGTAAAAGAGAATCCTGGGTAAAAAAAAAAGGGTGTTTGCTTAAAATACTAAAAATTGGATTTCGATACCCGTGGTAAGCAGAGCACAGATAGCCCATTGTATAGCTTTGTGCTAACAACCTACCAATTCTTGAGCCTTGTATTTTGTACGTATATTTAAAAATTATAACATATCCAAGACAAATCCATTACGTTTGTCTTTAAGCTTACACTATTCAAACTAAGGTACAAATTTTCATCAATGGTGTAACTAACTCTCGAAAGGGAATTTTTAGACCCTTGAATGAGAATTTCAGTGAAACATATGGAACATCACTGTGTAAATAACGTATTTCGTTAATGGTCCTTTTAGTCCCATTATATAAGTTTCAGGTCTAGAATTTATTAACTTGTTTCTGTGTCAGTACAATATTTTATTGTGGTTTCTCGAAAAGTAACAAAAACATTCGTAACTCTTAGGCTACATAAGTATGATTTTGTTCTTTTTTTTATAGAGATTGTGAGATTATTCAGTAACGAACAAGAAGGCATGTTGTTAATTTTGTAAATCTCTACTAAGTTGCAATCTTACGGTTCAAATAGAGTTTCGAGATAATGGCTCGTTTTCGTACATACAAGCTTTAAGTTATTTAGCCAGCCTCAGTGAGAGTTTTCCAAACATCGGGGTAGGTATTCTTAAACTTCACACAATTACAGTGAGAGTAGACTTTTACTTTTATATCTCTCAATTCCATAATAATCCTATTAAGTGCACTGTATAAAATGTGTAACTTATCATTAAAAAGTTACAACAACTCAGACAATTCGCTCTGAAACTGAAAACAATTTTGAAAATCTACCGAAAATGGTGAACAGCTGTAAAAAATAGCTGTTAAAGGTTGGTTGGTTGGGATTTATTGGCGCAAAGCAGCTAGGCTATCTGCGCCAAATTACCGGTAAAAATGGCAAAAAAGTAAAATATTATAAAAAGTAAAAGGAAAACAAGCTAAAAACTAAACAATACTCATAAAGCAGTTTAAAAATTATATGCAATGAAAAATGCTCATAAAAATTTAAAAATACAATCAATCCGACAGTATCACCATTGCCAATGACACCGTCCAACATCAAAGGTAAATCCCGAGAAAAACATATGTAAAATGGCTCCGCCTCTCGCAGTCGTAACGAAGGCACGAAAGCAATATTTGGGCAATTGTGACTTGAGTGTTACAAAGGCCACACATTGGCGGATCAATCCCAGATAAAAGAAAACGATGAGTTAAAAACCTGTGGCCAAAGCATAATCTAGATAAGGCAACGTCCTCCTTATTATCCTTAAATAAACTAGATAGCTAAATAATAACATTTGGTTTGATCTGGAAAACCTTGTTATGAAGTTGCTCACTCCAACTCGACTGCCAACTGGAGTGAAGCCGTGCCTTAATCATAGATCCGTAGTCCACATAAGAGACAGGCACAGCTGTGACAACACCAGAGCAAACGGACTTGGCTGCTGCGTCAGCAAGCTCGTTCCCACAGATGCTGACATGGCCAGGTATCAAGAAAAACTGGATAGAAATGGATGGCAAACACAAATGGGCTAATCATTTCCAAGTAAGTAAGAGAACAAGGTGATAATTGACATTAAGTGATTCTAGGGTCAGCAGAGAGCTAAGAAAGTCAGTGTATATAGTACAGTTAGTGTACTGCTTGGCCTCTATGTGATCCAAGGCAAATGACATGGCATACAAATCGGCAGTGAACACACAAATTGTAGAGGGGATCCTGTGAGCAACCACCGAGCCACAGCAAACCATGGCAGAGCCCACATAGCCAGCTGAGTTCGAACCATCTGTAAAAACAGGAAAGGAAGAATTGTTCAAAAGATGTTCAGTAAAGAGAAGACGATACTTCCAATCAGGAGTATCCGTCCTCTTCAAATGACTCAAAGAAAGATCAAAAGTGAGGGATAGTAATGAGCCATGATGGAATAAGCTGATCATTGGATTCAGCAACATCGTCTAATATCAGATCCAATTTAGCCAGCCAGCCATGCCTGGATAAGAAGGCCAAGAGGAGAAATGGCAGACTGCTGATTCACAAAGAGCACAGCCCATTGAGGAAGGAAGACACAACCCCAGGTAAGATGCCACATTAAAGATCAAAGTTTCAAGCATACAGCAAGGAAAGTTGCAAACATTTGAGATGAAGAGGAAGTTAACAGGACTCGGTGTACAAACTCTGCAGAAAGCCACTTTGCAGAGTCGAAGCCCCAGATGATGAGTCTAATTACCTTCAAGACAGTGTCCCTAGCTGAACCATAGACCATAGACCCATAATCCAGCTTAGATCAGATGAGAGCACGATAGATCTTGAGTATGGAACATCCATTCACTCCCCAAGAAGAGGAAGAGAAAATACAAAGGATGTTCAGTGCCATTGTACACTTGACACGAGGCTGATGTGAGGAATAAAAGTCAGTTTACAGTCAAAGATAAGTCCCAAGAACTTTGTCTCAGCCACTTTTCTTTCTACCCATGTTTGCATGTGATTACACAAATATAAAATGATGTCTGATGTTTGACCAATTCAAACAGAACAGTACCTCATGTGTCACGTGGGTTTAAACATCCATATAAAAATCACCAAGGTTCTGCCATAGCTGTCTCTAATTTAAAACTACTGACCAGAAAGAAAGCAACCAGCCAGCAGCACATGCTTCCTACACAGCTACTCTTAATCAAATAATAGAATCGACTTTCATTTTTTATAATGCACCACAACTGAAAGTGTAAAACATGTTCAGTGGAATGTTTCATGCTCAAACCTTGGATCTTCTTATCTGCAGCCAATATGCTAGTCACTAAACCCACTGGAATTCAAATAGAAATTTTGTACCCGAACAGCAACTTACTGATAGAATGAACCATATGGTCAGATCAGAAACCCCTTGGGTTCAGGTACAGCCAACCCTAATTTGAACCTACTGGCCAGATGGAACCATGGTCAGATAAATTAAGAAACAGACTAGTCTATATAAACAAAATCTTGCACACCAAGTGATAACATTCAGAGGCAGGGCAAGGTGTAGCCAACGAGACTGTAGCTCCACTCTCGGGCTAAAAAACTCATTTTGAGATTTAGTTTTCTTCTTACATTAGTCTTTAGTCATGATCATAATAGGCCCATTAAAAAAATTATCTCCAGGCTGATCTGACCCTAAATCCACCCCTGATAGCATTACATGTTCTGAGAAGGAGATCAGGATCAGGGTGCAAACCCTGCTGGTGGCAAAAACGCATGCAGATTGGTTTGGAGGAGAAGTTAAAATCATTCACTCTGGTCCACCCCAACAAGCAAGTGATAGCAGTCTTAAGCTGCTGCTCAATAAATCTCATGTACAATGACTGACCTCTCGTGGTGAGGGGACCTCCCAGGTAAGGTTCTGTATCTTCAGTTTACCTCCTCTGGGATCTGAACATCCACCCACGTGTTTGCCATGCGTGACGACCCTTGAAGGGGTGTCTGGAGCACTGAAACACGCCACTTTGGCCTTGAATTCCTGTAGATGGGTGGCCTTGGCGTGGCTCCCCCAGGGTCAATTGGCTGGTCCTATTGGGCTAGGGTCAACTAAGTACCAGTGTTGGGCATTTTCAAAGGGTGTTGTGGACATTGTGCGTGATGCTGGTGTTTGGGTATAGTGCTCTTGAAGCCCTGGCGTTTCTACAGTGTCCTTATTTGGCATTTTGGTGCATTCCCTAAAAGGACTCCATGGTGGGTGGGGTCAGTGGGCACTGAATCATTCTCCTTTCATTATAATTCCCCAATCCTTGAAAAAAAATTAAAAAAGTTAATAAGTAAGTGACCACATATGGAAGACTCTGTTACACAGTCACCGCCGAAGTCAGCTCCTGTGCTTCGATTTTTAATTATTCATTCTTTGTTTGACAAATCCTCAGGGCAAATGTCTCCCTTTTTCATTCAGAAGGGATTAGAGAGGCTTGAACTCCTCATGAGGAGTTATTGTTGAGAGAGATTTGAAGAACATCCCCAAGTCAGACATCCTCGTTGGTTTCTCCAGCCATAGAGTTTCTGCTGTGCAGTCTATCTTCACTCACAAATATGGAATTATGCTGTAAGGTATGGTCATATATTACTAACCCTCTCAAATGTTTCCAGTGTCAGCAGTTCAGACGTTCTAAGGCATCTTGTCGTGTTTCTTTGTCATGTGCTCATTATAGTGACAAAGACCATGATGCCTACGAGAGCCAACTGGATCCTCACTGCGTCATTTGTGGTGGTTTCCACACTGCTTTCTATCAATGTTGCCCTAAATGGGTGGAGGAAAAGGAGGTACAGCATTTATGAACTGTTGACTACATAAATTGTTATCCCCTGCTTCACCTTGGACATATTTTGCTGCTCTCAGTTCCATAGCTACAGTGGGGGTGCAGATAATTATTTCTATGCCTCCATCAGAGTCTTTCTCACACCACATGAAGAATCTTTTGCCCTCCATAGTTGCACTCCTGTCTCTGTCCCTGCCATTGCTTCCAGTGACTTCTTGAGTCTAACTTAATTGGCCCCGAGGTGCAGAACAATTGGTCACGCCATCAGTTACTGGAGTCTCCTTCTTCCAACAGAGATCTGCCTAATCGACCCAGGGCAGGTTCCATGGAGGTCGACAGACCTCCTTCAACTAAAGAAAAATGGAGTGGTCACAAGCTGAAGGATTTTCTGCCCAGTTCTCCTCCTGTCTAGGTTTCCTTTCTAGTATGGATGACATTAAGGCCTTGATTGATTCCTATCATCTGGTGTGTGTCTCCTTACAGGAAACATTCCTGAAACCTGCTGATACTGTCACATTTTGGCAGTTTTCTTTATACCAGAATGACAGGTTGTGTAATTGTCTAGTCCATGGAGGGGTGACACTGCTAGTTGATCAGCACATACCTATCTTATCTGCACCACTCAATACACCCCTGGAGGCTGTAGCCATCCTTATCTCCGTGTGTCATACGATCACTGTGTGTTCTATCTACCTGTCTCCAGGAGAGACTTACAGTAAATCAGACCTTGATGCTCTTATAGAACAGTTGCCATCTCCCTTTTTCATGTTGCAAGACTTTAATGGACACAATCCCCCCTGGGGTGATGCTAATATTGATGGAAGGGGTCATTCTGTGTAGCATATGCTCTCAGATCACAACCTTTCTCTCTTCAATACTGGTGTTTTACATATTTTCATGCACCTACTCAGTCTTTTACTGCTAATGATCTATCTATCTGTTCCCCGTCACTTTTCTCTCATTTTTCTTGAAGGGTTGACAGTGATCTATAGGGTAGCTATTATTTTCCCATTATCTTGAGGGAGGTTGGCCATGGTCGATGCCAGCTGACTGGAGCAGGCCAACTGGCTCTCCCTCACCTCTCTCTCGGAACTCAATCCTTCTGTCATTAGTCTTCTGTCTATTAATGACTGCATGGAAGCAGTAACTCATTGTATAATTCAAGCAGTTGTCCATTCTATCTCCAAAACCTCGACACATTTCCCATGGTATCCTCGTCCATGGTGGTCTTCTGCCAGACAGCAGGCATAGAAGGCTCAGTAACAGGCCTGGGATACCTTTCACATATATCACACTCTTTCCAACTGCATTACTTTCCAGCTCATTCTCGGTGGGTCGGATGTCAAAGCCAAAAGGAATCTTGGATTAAGTTCACAACCAGCATCTCTTCAACCAACAGTTCCAAAGTCATCTGGGACAAGATTGAGAAGGTCAATGGGAAGTATGCTTCCCATTCCCTTTCCATCTTGCTTCCAATGGCCAGGAAGTTGCTGATGTACAAAGCATTGCCAATACTGTCGGGGAGAGCTTTGCTTATCTTTCCAGCACTTCTGTTTTTTTTCCACCTTCTTGGCCATCAAGTGTCGGGCAGAGCGATTGTCTCTTTCCTTTTGGGCGGATCATCTTTATGACTATAATCGCCCTTTTACATTGGTGGAATGTAAGCCTGCTTTTCATTGGTCTGGTCCAGTGTCATTCATTATGAAATGCTGCACTGTCTCTCTCCTGCCCCACTTTCTCTTCTTCTGGTTGTTTTTATCCAGATCTGGTAGGAGAACATTTTTCCTGATATGTGGCACAACACTATTGTTCTACCTTTTTCAAAGCATGGGAAGGATCCCAAGATTCCTTGTAATTCTTGTCCTATTGCTTTGACTAGCTGTAAGGTTTTGGAGATGATAGTTAATCCTCGTCTTATTTGGTTTTCTTGAATCAAACTACCTCCTCTAGTCCACCCAATGTGGTTTTCGTTGACAGTGATCCACCATGGACCACCTAATTCGATCAGGGAAGCCTTCCTCAAGAGAGAACATCTTGTTTCTATCTTTTTTATCTTGAAAAGGCTTATGACACTTCGTGGAGGTATGTTATTTTGCTGGATCTCCACTTCTATGGGTTGCATGGCGATTTACTCATTTTATTCATAAATTTTAACATGAGAGATGATTCTAAGTCCGTGTGGGTTCGACCCTTTTCCATTCTTTCATGCATAAACTTGGAGTCTCTCAGGGCTGTGTCTTGAATGTCACGCTTTTCAGTGTTAACATCAATACTTTTACTCGACAACTTCCTCCTACTGTTGCAAATGGGATCTATGTCGACGACTTCGACATCTTTTGTCAGTCGTTGACATGAGGTTTATTGAGCAGCAGCTTCAGACTGGACCACAGCAAATGGTTTTTACATTCTCTTTATCCAAAACTGTTTGCATGCACTTTTGCCAACACCCTGACCCGAGCTCCATCTTGGTAATGTTCTTCTTCCTGTGGTTCCTGAAGCAAAGTCCTTGGGGATTATCTTTGACCATAAGATTACTTTTACTTCTCACATCAAGCACCTATGTGTCAAGTGTACAAGGGCATTGAACATCCCCTGTGTCCTCTCTTTCACCTCCTGGGGAGTGGATTGATGTTCTATGTTGCAGATTTATCATGCCCTCATACATTCCAAGCTGGACTACGGGTCTGTGGTTTATGGTTATGCCAGGCTCTCTGCTTTGAAGGTGGTGGACCCTATACACCATCTGGGACTTTGGCTCTGCATGGGGGATTTCCCACTTTGCCTGTCCAGAGCTTGTACATTGAGTCTTACAAACCTCCTCTTC